ATGGAAATTATGGAAATTTTATGGATGACCCCTAGAGTCTAACAATGAAAAATACGTTCTACTATTGCTGTGAATCTCAAGATTGAGAAGTGAGAAACTACAATTCCTTTAAAGTTTTCAAATGCTTGTAAATCAATCCTGCTGACTCTCTTCCTCTTGTTTAGCTAGCCATTTTCGTCGCAAAATCTTGATCTGTGTTGATGAGAAAGCCTGTCTTCGGCTGCATGGTTCCAGCGTACATTGAGCATCGCATGGATTTGGGAAATATGGAGTACAACAGCAGAAACATTTTTGTTCGATACTGGAATTGAGATTTATAGCGGTTGTGGCTGTTGCCTGTGCGATACCTTATACAATTCAGTGGTTTCAGTGACCAAACTTGATCTCGTATATTTGGAGGAACAAGCGCTCCAAGAAAGTCTACTGCGGTAGTGTACCTGAAATTTACTCAAGGATGGTTTTGGTGACGCAGACAATGCAAACTCCGCGCCCGATGCGTGTGCCCACGCCGCTTTCGCGTCGCTGCAGACCGTGCATTTATCTGCGAAGTATCCTCTGTTGCAACCAGACAGGCGGCTGGAGGGCGGAGCTTCGACCGATAGAAGCATGTACCAAAGAAGATGCAGAGCCCGCACCTCCTACGCTTACGATTTTTCTAATCGATCGAAGCTCTGCCCTTCAGCCGCCTATCTGGTTGAATCGGAGGTTAGCTCTTCTTCCAATCAAGTATATGTTAACCTGGGTGGCCAAACTTTGCAGACTCCAGACGTCTCATCGTAAGCTTGTGGTGTCATCGCACATGCTTGTTTTTCCGTGGGTAAGTCGCAGATGCGATCTACAACGCCAAACGAGTTACCGCTGGAAGAACTTGCATGCAAACATATCAGCAATCGATTATAAGTGTGGACACGTTACCAACCCAGGCGTATATTCGCATCTTGGCGAACACGACACTTGAACGTTGCACATACCGCAGGCATTGGCTGATTTGTTAAACATCTCCGCGTAATCCATCACTTTTTGCACGATTGGATTTCCTATTCCGGTAATAAGCTGGAAACAATCCCAAGAGAAATATATAGAGTTGCAGCGTAGGGACCGACCATAAAAGAGCTGAGACACTAGAGCACTTACCGACATATATCTGTTCTGGTAGCATTGTTCGGGTAATCGATGCCAAAATGATCGATCAGAAGTGCTGCAAAAGAAGATTACTGCAAGTTGGATACCTTTGAATTTACTGGCGATTGTGGATTTCACTACAACACCACCGGC